ACATACTTTTCAAAGCACTTTTTATTTATACCTATGGATTCATTTAAACCCTTCCCAATAGAAACTAACAGTCCAATTATAAGATGAGGAAACAAGCTCAGAGAAATTAGTGATGGGCCCAAGGACACACAATTGATCAGCAACTGAAAGAATCCATGCTGCTAAGCAGCCATACATGAGTCTTGAGATAATATAACTGGAGTACAGTCCTGAGCATATGGCACACGCAGAACAAATAACATTTATTGACAAATATCTGCCAAGTGTTTACAGTTACTCCAGAGCTTGGCATGAAAGGCTTCTGTGATCAATGGGAGAGGCCTGCATGTGTGTTTAATATGTCAGTGATGACGCTTGGGTCATAGGACTGTGGTCCTCACCCACATCGAAAGACTCCTGGGTCACATTGCCCCCATTCCCCTCCTCCATCTCAGCAGTGTCTGTCAGACTCACGATCTCATGGATTTCCACACTCCCACACACTTCCTCCTTCTACTCACCTATTAACCACCCACTACCAGAGTGTTCTTCCAAAAATATACTTTCATCATCTGCTTCCTTATGAGGACTCTACAGATGATGACCACATCAAATAAAGTCTACCTCTTGGCTTTCGAGGGCCTTGAGAGATGGAAAGAATATGCCCTTAGCTCCCACTCAAGTGCTCAAGAACCTCCTTAGCAAAAAAACACTTGATATGAAAGACTATGTTTCATTATGCAGAGAAGAACAGTATCTCTGTTACTTCAGTATGGTGATAAGTGGATTTTTATTTTATGTATTTAGTTTTAAACACAGCCTAGTAGGGGGGAAAAAAGTGGAAAGCAGGTGCTTCATGCAGCTGCTGAGCCTACACCTAAGATGCTTGCATCCAATTTTCCAGGGCCTGGTTTCAAATCCCAGCTCCACTCCCAACTCCAGCTTCCAGATAATACAGCAGATGGGCATTAAGCAGTCGGTTCCCTGTCACCGATGTAAGAGAGTCACCCTGAGTTTCCAGCAACTGCCTCAAGCCTTGGTTCAGCTCTCACTATTTCAAGATGGGAGTGCTCGGTTTGTTTCTTCCTTTCAAGTAAGTGAAGAAAAAAAAATTTGAAAACTTAATTCAATTTTTATTTACAATGAAACAAGCTGGCTTAGAGAAGGCATAATACTCAGCCATTTATTCTGCTTTTCATCCTTGCTCCCAAAGGTAGGCCAAAGAAACTAAAATCGTTCTTCCTCAGAACAGTAATGGAAGTTCGATCTTTCTCCACTTTTCTATCCTAGGGCTAGACAAGAATTCCCTGACCTGGGGTCCCAGGCCGTAGCTTAGCGGCTAAAGTCCTCACCTTGCATGTGCCAGAATCCCATATGGGCATCGGTTTCAATCCCAGTGGCTCTGCTTCCCATCCAGCTCCCTTCTTGTGACCTGGGAAAGCAGTCCAGGATGGCCTAAAGCCTTGGGACCCTGAACCCACCTGGGAGACCTAGAAGAAGCTCCTGGCTCCTGGTTTCAGATTGGCTCAGTTCCAGCCGTTGTGGCCATTTGGGGAGTGAACCAGCAGATGGAAGATCTTCCTCTCTATCTCTCCTCCTTTCTGTATAACTGACTTTGCAATAAAAATCTTTTAAAAAAAAATTCCCTGCCCTGCTCTGCCTGATGGTAGATAATAAAAATATTTTAGCTATTTTGAGATTGATTTTTTTGAAAGGCAGAGTGACAGAGAAAAAGGGAGAGGACAGAGATTTTTCACGTGCTGTTTCACTTGCCAAATGATCACAACAGCCAAGATAAGACTCTTCCTCGGAAATTCTGCCCCATATCTGCAAGGCCACTCTAAACTATTCACATGTGATCTGCAATGAAGTTCCCATAAAAACCCCAGGACAGGATCCAGAGCACTTTGGCATACCTAGGCGCCTGGGGAGTGGCAGGCCCAGGGAGAGCCCACACCTTCTCCTGTATCCTGCCCTATGCATATCTTCACCTGTCTCCTTTGTAAGATGCTTAATCATAAACTAGGAAAAGTGGTTCCTTGAGGTTTTTTTTTAAAGGTTTGTTTATTTGAAAGGTAGAGTTACAGAGAGGAGTGGGAGGGAGGAGAGGAGAATGTGAGCACTCAAGCAGGTGAACTGAGCCTAAGGAGGAAGTTGTAGGCATTCTGATTTACAGACTATTGGTCCATGATTTCTTTGCATAGAAAGAGAAGTAAGTTCAACTTGGTTTTTCCTGCAATAAGTACACCAAAGACATAAAAGGAAGAATATGAAAGAGAACATTGAATTATTATTTTTTTAAACACTACATAGTTAACATCCAGGTAGATTTTGGTTAGCTTTCGCCCTGAAATTAGATCCTGAATCACAGGGAGAACTGTTAATGATTACAGATGGAAAGTCCAAACTATAACCCCAAAAAAGTAACAATAACACCTTTAATGTCCCAGACCAAACAATGAACAACTTCAACAAGAGCCCCTGGCAAGGTTAACCAGGGCCAATCAGAGCCCATGAGTCACTGGTGTGATGTCTCAAAGCCAACTACATTCATGAACGAAAACAACATGGATTTCATTTAAAATCTAAAAAGACAAACAATGAGCATTTTGAAGACCTCAAACTTGCCAGCAGTTTTTTTTTTTTTTTTCTGGACTCTCCACTCAGCAAGAGGAGTTGCAGGATTGTACCAGAAGTCCACCTGATTTGCTTTGCATTGTAAACAATTTCTGACAAAAGCCACATCCAGATTATTCCTGAGTTGAACTTTCTGATGTCCACTCAGGATTTCTGAATGTAAAGTCCCACATCCGGCTGCCAAGTTCACACATTCAGAAGGCTGCAATGTGCGAGTTAACAGGTATCAAAACTGAACGTTTTGTTTGTTTTCAGGGAGATTAATATTGTTCTGTCAATTGAGGAAGCTGATCTTCTTAGTTGGATTTAGCTACTGGGCTTCCATTTGATGAAATGCTTCATAATTTAAAGTCATAACTAAAACAATACCAGAACCCTTGATGGAATTAGGGAGGCAGATAAAGACACTGTAGAAGCTGTTATTCATTTAACAAATATTTATTGAACGGCTGCAATCCATCAGCCCCAAGGGATAGAAAACTGACCCTAATATTGTCCGAGAAAACCATGACTCACTTCTTGGAGTTTCAGTTGAGGGTGTCGATAAATCTTTTATAGGGTCAAGAAAAACAATACCAACATCAGAAAGAATCATAAATTCAAATTAGTTAAAATGTTTAATTCTGCCAGGAAGGGGTATGGCGCTCCTGGGAAGCCCCTTTTCCTTGCACATGTCTTCTACCTTACACACAGTTCTGTAAGAATGACCAGACTTTTCATCCCTGAAAATGCAACCTCTCTCCGTGGATTGCTGCTGCTGTGCGCAGGCCTGAGAAGGGTCCCTGGAGTTTGCACAGGATCAAATCAAGCTAGTTACTCAGTTCTGTATCCTGAACATCCGAGGGAGCCACTAGAAGGAACCATTTTTAACTGTTTTTAAACATTCCTTTGAGGGACCAGCTGCAGATACTCCTGCCTCCAGGAGTAGATGGGTGAGATGAGAGGACTCCCCCAGAAAGCAGATCCTCTGGCCACTCCCTCCAGGCCCCCAAGGGGCAATAAGCATCCCAGGAAACAGGGCAAGGGAGGCAAGAAACTGGCCTTGAGGTAAAGGGTCAGGAGTCACTGCCTTATGGCACTTAAGTTCACAAGAGTTTAAGCAAATTAGTCGCTTCTTAACATAACCAAGAACCAGCTGGTAAGTACAGCCAAAGTGTGTTAAAAGTAGATTCCAAAATGCCAACAATTTGCTAAATGTGTGCCTGAACAAAAAAATAATAATAAGCAACCATTTCACTTTCTCCATCGATTCCAATATTTCCACTTTCATCTGAGATGCCTTCTACGCATGGCAAACAAGGAAACATCAACTTGTGTTAAAAATAAACACTGATATTTATGGTGGAAGCACCAAAACCTTTAGTCCAGTTGCAGAGTATATTTTAGACGTCCAACTCAGCATCAATGCTGAGGACATGCAATTGCTAATGGAAACTTTTGGGGGTGGGGGAGTGAGAGGCTTAATTTCTTGTGAAAAAGCAACCATAGAAAAAACTACATCCCGAACAGCGAAGCAAGAAACCAACGTTCAGGTGTTATGTATCTGCTAGAACACATCTGGGGTTTTGACCTTGAAGGACACTGAAGGAAAAGATCGTACAGCAGCATTGGCTTGAGAGTCCTTATATTTTTGGAAACCTCGTAAGAGAGCCTTCATTTTATTCTCAGCGATTAACAGGATGGTTGGAAAGCAGTGCACTCCCCCAGGGGGCAAACTCTGAAAGATATTTATCCTACCTGCCACCAAACACGCATTTCCAGGGAGCAGAACACTCCTCCCCCACCCCTGTCCCTTGAGAATTTTTCAAGGCTCCAATTCAAGGTTTGTTGTCCGAATTACTTTTTTCTTAGGGCATTTTCATTTACGCTCCAAATACAGTAGACCCTTAGGCGTTTGGCTAGTGGCTGTTCGAGAGAATTCTGGAAAATTCTAGGGACTTTCCACGTTTCCGTGCATTTCATCGAAGCCGCTTTGCATTTTGAGGTTGAGGGAAAAACAGCTTGAGTCCCCTACACAAAAAAAGGAACATCCTCCGGGACACGCCTCGCAGCGGTCTTAACAGCTCTGTTTTTCCAAGCTCGCCCTCTCGTCTCCACACCGCGCAAAGCCGCCGCGTCTGGTGGTCGCCCAAAGGTCCACCTCATCTCCCAGGCAGCGTCCGCGGCGTGAGCCGGGAACGCACGCGCACCCACGTTCCAGGTCCCCGGGCGCCGCGCCTTCCCGCCGGGCGCGCGGGGTGAAACGGCGCCCCGGGGCAGCGAGCGGCGCGCCCGGGCAGCCCCCGCGGGCAGGACGCCGGCCGGCCACCGCGCGCCCCCCGACCCCCAGGGCCCGACGCCGCCGGCGCGCTCCCCGAGACGCACGCACGCACGCGCCGACTCACCAGCAGCCCTGGATGTCCGGAGCCCGCGTGGGACGGCGGCTGCCCGCGCGACTGCCGTGTGGCCTTGGCATCCGTCTGGCCGCTGTGGCGTGTTCTGGAAGGCACTGCCGCGGGGTGAGAGCGGCACGAGAGCGAAGAGGCGTCCGCCCGCCCGCCCGCTCGCTCGCTCGCCTCAGCCGTGCCGCCTCCCCCTCTGCACCGCGGGCCCCGTGGAAGAGGCCAGTTCCGCTCGCGCGGGCTCGGTGCGTGGCTCTCCTCCTCCTCCTCAGCGTCCTCTGGGTCCTTTTCTGCCTTCTCTTCCTCCTCCTCCACCTCCTCCTCCTCCTCCCCCCCGCGCTGCCAGACACGCCAGTGTCCGGGCAAACGGCGTCCTAACAAACTCACGCGCAGGCGGGCTCACCCTGCGCCTGCAGCAGCCAGAGGCAACCCCAGGAAAGCGAAAATGTCCCCGCGATGGTCGCGGCCTCCCCTGCCCCAGCCCCGTGCCGCCTCCGCCCCTGCCCCCGCCCTCCTCCGCGGCGACGGCCTCCTGCAGTGTGCAGGGAGCTCGCAGGTGGCAGCAGGTCCCTGCGGCTGGCCCGGGGCGAAGTGAAACGGTCCCGAGGCGAAAGGCTGCTCGCTTTTTCCTCAGCCCGAGACCACCTGCGCTTCTCCTTTGCTCCACCTTCGGTTTCATTGGCACGGAATGAGGGGTACCTCACAGACCTCCTGGCAGACATGCCTCTGGGTTTGACCATGAAATCTGTACTGCCTTGAGTTGGGGGTCAAAATTCCTCTTACACCTCAGCTAAAATGCCATTCTGAAATTTATTCTTAAGTAGGTATGCCTTGCATGAACTACCTCAGCTCTGCCCCCCACTTCCCATGCCCTTGAGTTGTATGATACTATCTCCTGGGTGTTAACTGTTACCTCACACAGTGGTTTTTATCTAAGGCCTGACCCTGTGCCATGTAATCTTAACTTTATCTGCCACAACCCATATGCATAAAAAGTACTGTTGCTTTTTTGCAGTAAGTGGAATTCAGAGAAATATTTGTGTCAGGTTATGCTACCTAGAAAGTAGAAGCTAAGAGGTTTTAACGGTGATTTAGCAGTGTGTCAGTTAGCAAGGCAGCCTTAATTTGAGGCGGTTTCCTTCCTGCCTTCCCTTTTTCTCATCAGATAAGTGTAAATTGAGGTCGGAAGTCTAAGTTTTCAAAGCAGGTACATCTCAGGCAGAGAGGTTTGCAAGCCAAGCCATCACACTTGTGAACCGTGGAAGGATCAGGCACTGTTCTCGAGTTTGCTTGGGGTGGAAATCAGCTTTTCCTCGCGGATATGGTTATGCCTTAGTTATGTCTTAGTCCGTTCAGACTGCTGTAACAAGACACCATAGCCCAAGTGGTTTAAACAGCATAAGTTTATTTCCGGTGACTCAGGAATCCAAGTCCAACTTTCCAGCTGATTCACTTCACTTCCTGATTTGCATTTTGCTAACTTCCTAGTAGTTCCTCTCATACCACAAAGACTGGGAGGAAGAAAAGAATGAAGGTATTTGTGAATGAAGGCCGCATCTGTGTGAGCTCTGTTGACCTAAATGACTCTCCAAATGCAGCCATTTTGGGGGTGAGAGCTTCCACTAGTAAATGTACAGATGGGATGAGGAGTACAGTTCCATTCGTAGCAGCGATGTATCCTTTTGCAACTGGCTGCAAAACAGACCTGGAATGAAACCTCATAATTTCATATTAATCTTTAGAAAGTAGAATTCTTTCTACTCCAAGGATAAAGTAATCACAAATCTGTCATTTTATGCTGTGGTTTATTCAGTTAAATTCTACCATTTTTGCTTACTCTATTGTAATGTTTCTTGAGATCTGAGTAAGTAAACACAAAGAAAAACAGCTCCATCCTTAAAAGAAAGGGGACAATTTCTGAAGAGGCTACTGGAATATTGTCTTTATCTGTCTTTGTATTTTCTAAAGATTTACTTATTTTTATTGGAAAAGCAGACTTTACAGAGAGAGGAAAAACAAAGAGGTCTTCCATCTGCTGGTTCCCACGCTGAATGACTGCCGTGGCTGGAGCTGAGCTGATCTGAAGCCAGGAGCCTTCTCTGAATCTCCCGTGCCAGTGCAGGGGCCCGAGGAGTTGAGCTATTCTGCACTGCTTTCTCAGGCCGTAAGCACAGAACTGGATGGGAAGTGGGGCAATCAGGACATGAACTGGTGTGCCCATATGGGATGGTGGCACTATAGGGTAGAGGATTAGCTTGCTTTAGCACTGCGCTGGATCCTGACTTTGTGTTTTTTAAACAGAGAGAGCTTTACTATTCTTTGAGGAAAAGTAGGATGCATTTTAAACAAGCAGAATTTTCAAGTTTTAGGATCAAATGTTGCCAGAGATCTATCTGCAATCTAGCTCTCTTTGTATGAAAGCAAGATGAGATCTGGAAAATGAGAATGACTTGCTATCAAGTGTAATATCAGTGGGGTGGATCGTGTAATGCCTCCCAAGTAAGAGAGAAATCTGAAACTGAAAAATAAGGAGGCAAACCTCCTATTAAAAAATGGAAAGGGAGCATGGCACTTTTAAAATGGTGCTTGGGAGGCTTGCATCCCATATCAGAGTGCCTGGGTCTGATGGCCAGCTCCTACTCCTGGCTCCTGGCTCCAACTGCCTGCTGATGCAGACCTCGAGAGGTAGTGATGATGGCTGAAGTACGCAGGTCACCACTGCTCACATTCACGATCCTGGATTGAGTTTTCAGCTTCCAGCTTTGGCTCCAGTCAAGCATCGTTGGAGACATTTGGGGAGTGAAGCAGCAGATGAAAATGTTCTCTCTTGTTCTTGCTCTGACATGTTCCCTCCTCAAATAAATAAGTGATATTCATATATATATGAATCAAAGTTTATTAAAGCAGTTTAAAATTCAAAACCAGGACAAGAGGTGATTTTAGTTGAGTGGTAGAAAAACAAGTTCTATTTATTCTACAAAGAATAGTAGGTGAGGCAAAGTTTTATAGTTTTATAAAGTATCACAGAACTGGGACTGGAAAATCACAACACTTAACACTTCCTGGCCTCTGGTACCTGCTGGTTAGGTTCCCTTTGGGCTGCCCCACGTTATCGGAAAGGCTGGAGGAGAGTGGCATCCATGAGAGTAACAGGTGCTTAGCTTCCTTCTAAGAGAAAGAGCCAGACTCAATATGGTGTTAGTCTGATTTGTTGTCACATACTTGCCCCAATCACAGTAGTTCCTGTTACGGTCTAGTCTTATGTCTGTTCCATTATGATCTAAAAACTTGATTAACTCACCACTGGTTTTATTAGATTTTACCCTTACTGATAGTACATTGCTTTTCCAAGCATGTCAATTAGTTTCCATAACAACTGTGAAATGGAAAAGATACACATTGGTCCAAAAGAGAAAGCAGTATGTTTATAGAATTGCTGCACAGAAAGAAATAAAAGGGAGAAGATGGAAAATTCCATATAACACATGGCAAGAAGGGTCAGAATTAAATAGTACTTCAAATACCGTATACAGTAAAAACTGAGCATCTATGACATAATGTAAAAGAATAAGTGAATCTGTGAAATCTGATTAAATAACTTAGTGCAAAACATGGGTCTGCTGGTTGGAAGAACCGTAGTTCAAGGGTAGGTTGGTTAATTTCTTTAAGTTCCCATTTCGTGTTGAGTAACTGCAAGAGAACTCTTAGAAAATTAGGTGAAACCACATCCGTAAAGAATCTTGAGCCATGTCCAGGACAGATTAAATAGTTCAGTTGTTGAAAATGAAAAGAATAAAGTCTTATCAAGTGAGAGTATATGTTATATAGTGAAATGGTGTTGTACTTGAGATGAATGCTGGAAAGTCAAAATGCCTGGTAGTTCTGAAGAATTCACCTCATCTATCAAGTGGTAACACACAAAATCCAGAGAGTATGTGAAGCCTTAAGAGTACTGATTGGAAAATGTTTTAGGTCCCAGTATGGACTTGAGCAAATGTCCATCTGTGTTTGACAGCAGAAGGAAGAAGGTCCAGGAAAGCATGATCATAGCAAAGAACCAGACACTAGTGAACATGTGCAGTATTGATTATAGCTACAAGTTTCTAACTGACGCTTGTGTATATAGACCCTAGAGTGAGTGGTTTATTTGTATTGCTTTCCCATTTTATAGAGGAGCAAACTGAGTGGTGCAGCCATGACGACAGCTGGAGCTCTGAGCTACCGGAGAGGATGAGGAGGAGGGCCACGTACTGAAGCGACGGTAAGAATCACAAAGTCTGAAAGAAGAGAATTTGTTGTTACTGTTTACAGTTCACTAGTCTTGAGATACACCTTTTCAGAAGAGGACGGGGCATAGAAGACAGGTTCCAGGCAATTGAAGAGTGTTGGGATGAGGTCTAGTTCTCCCAGAGGAAGATGAGGACCAGGTTAGCCTGCTGCCTTTTTCCTCCACTTAGATCCAGAAGCAGAAGAATGGGCCAGGTAGAAACAGGGAGATTGCAGGCTATGGAATATAAACAGAGATCTTGAAGGCAGGGCATAGGAAGGGATCAGGATGTCATATTACCTGAAGATTGTCTTTTAGCTTGCTTTTACGTTGAGGGAAATGCTTATTCAACATTCAAACTTCAACAGAAATGGATTTTTTTTTTTTAGAAATGGATGTTTTTATAGAAAAACGTAAGGGGAGTGTTGGTAATGTTAAAAAAAACTTTTCTTCTTATTTTTAATGTCTGAATAGGCGTTGTGGTTCTCTCCCCTACCCAAGTTTTTACCAGTGGCTCTTCAGTATTGCCCATGCAGATTTTCTTTGTCTTTCTGGCTTGGTTCTTTATTATGTAAATCAGTATAGCTTTTTAGACTTATTGCCAGTGACCTCTTTTCACATTGTCCCAATTCTGAAAAAGGAAAGCCAGTCCTCAAAACACTAATATCGTATGTTCTTGCTGTTCTAAGGTAACTTTCATGCAAAATACAAAATAAATATATAAGTAAACACGTATAAACATATGTTCTCATAGATGAACTATAGAATAGAGAAGAGACCTGTAAAAGTTGAATTTGAGGTTCTAGGTAGAAATTTTACAGAGTTGAGTGGATAAAAATTGACAGTATTTTTTGTCCAAAATATTCTCATGTTCTTGAGTCCTGCGATCCATGAACATGAGCCATTTTGGCAGAACGTCAGCGTGTTTCTCTTTGGCTAGTAAGAGAAAGTTTAAAGTCAAACTTGAGTCACACTTCTACCACTTTACAAGTATGTGAATTTTGAACTAGTAAATTAATTTATTTGGATTTTAGTTTCTTCCACAAAACAATAAGAATACCAGTACTATTTTAAGGGGAGCTTAGAAACATTCACTGAACTAGAATACCACAGAGCTCAGTGTTGTGAATACCCAATAAATAAACAAGTAGCAAGTAATTGTA